TGAATTAGACACATAAGCGTTTAACATTGACGAAAATTCTTACCATTATTCTTATAATGCAGAAAGGTGTCCAGCCTATTCACAAATTGCAAGCATCATCAAACAGATGAAGATGAATCCAACATGACCAGATAGCCTTGGTTATGTAAGTCTTGACTGATTTTATTGCCACACGTGCCGCATGAACTCTGCTTGAATATTAATTATGTAGGTATCTTTATGCAAATATGTACATGGGATTGTCCCTCGCGAGCATCAGTTCGACTCCGCTTCTACTCGGTTGCACACAGTTAAGTAAGATAAAGAAGTTCCCAAAAAGGTGGAAATTTCACTGAGGCAGTGCACAACCAAAAAATAGCATTAGATTGAAAAATTTTTATTCTATCAAGAAGAAGAAAGATCGAAGTACAGAGACCAGTGATGTAAAATTAAAATTGTAATGTAATGGGATTTGATAGTTGTGCACTGCCTAGTGTGCTCAATGGTCCGGTCCACGGACCGGACCGGACCGATAACTCCGGTTCGGTCCGGTCCTGGTCCTGGGCTTAGACCGGACCAGGACCGATAAAAAATTTCGGTCCGGTCTCGGTCCTGACTGTTTAGGACCGGACCGATAACCTTCGGACGATAACTTTTGGAGAAAATGTGAAACGGCTACAACATAGCGCTTTAATTTTATGACCACATATATCTATTATATCTGGCTTTTGAATTAGCTTATTAACCTCTTTCGTATCAATGATTTTTGTGTAAAATTTCCTTGGGTACGATGTTGATTTTTTAATTACACCGAATAGCAACCAATGAAAATCTTCATGATTTCCTACAAAAGACGGTATGTTTATTTCAACCAGTTTCCAAGTACCGGTATAGAGAAAATTCCATAATTTGGGATGATTTTAAACAATCGACTATTAACCATCTAATTTGCCACAAAATTGCCAAACAAATACTCAGATTTTTTAGAATTTTTTTTAGTTTTATGCAGTACGCAAATGTGTGTACTTCATCTTTGAAACGTTAAAATTAACAGAAATAAGTATGAAATAAGCCAAGCCAGCTTGCCCTTTCTCAAATGTTTCACCCTACTGCTACATTGCGTTTGCTACAGTTTATGACGTTGTTTACTTGCTTTCACTCTTGTCGGTCGCACACATGCCGACCACTTTCATCTATCTAATTTTTTTTGCAAGGTTGGGGATAATTGTTATTTATTTACCAAAATTTATGGTAGATTCGCCAACCAATATTTGTAACAGATGTAAGCTTAGATTTAACTTAGCGTGCGATTCATTCTGAGATTAATCTCTGTAAATTTCCAAATTTTTCACAAATCGTTTTAAAATTTGTCCCATTTTTAGTCATCGTTTAACGTAAAGAGTATTTATTCAATGGTCAGGTTCAAAAAGTTCATGTGGGTCATTAAATTTTATATTGCGCCGCAGGGAATAACAAAATTTCTTTTACTCAATCAGATAAAAGACAGTAGGTGAGACACTAGTAATGGCACACTACTGAAAATTTGGTGACCCTCATAATCTGTACTTGTGAAAACTTGTCACTATCTTTAAATCTATCAAAAAAATAAAATTCTAATAAGAACTTCGAATTTTACGACGTTAAAATAAATTTTGAAAATTAAATGTAAACTTAAATTTTTCTGTGAAGCAACTAACGTGTTCTGAAGTAACTTGTAAAATCCGTAAGGTTTGTCTAATATTGAAAGCGAAATCTTATCGGTCCGACCGGGACCGACCGATAAGACTCGGTCCGGTCCCGGTCCTGTCAAAAAATATCGGTCCGGTTTCGGTCCAAGCTTATCGGTCTTCGGTCCGGTCCTGATCCTGCACTGGACCGGACCGAACCGGACCATTGAGAACACTAGTCTGAATTATGGTGATGGCTACAACCGCCAAGATTGGAAATACCGCAAAAAATGGCATCGGAATCATGTGATGCATCTTCAGTGATATAAAGTTGTACAAGATTGATAAGACAAAGCCGTTTAGGAGGCAGAGTGCGACAGCCGGAGCTAAAAAGGGATATGCTATGGACAGAATTAATTCGCAGGAGGAATATTCCACCAGGTATGGGGAAATTTGATTAGTCTCAATTAGCCCCGATTTGGCGCAAAGGGACGCAATACAGGACAACGTTAGATACGCGGCTAAAGTACAGGCACACATGGTCATCGCTAAGACTCGCACTACGAGATACCAGGACCCTATTAGGGTAATTTTTAATGGAATGATGCCATATTTTGGCACAGTTTGCCAATGTAGAGGGACTACGCGGGCGACGAAGAGACTGTAAGGGTCCAGTCCGATGTAGATACCGCAAATGGGAACGATTATTGTGTGAATCACGAATAAAAAGGTGATCGAGTTTAAGACGAGGCCGACCATGTCAATTTTTCCTGCTTTTTGTGAAGTTAAACATGATGCCGGAAATTCTACGGGGACAGTGAGAAACGTTAGGATGGCGGTAAGAGAAATTAATTCAGATTGAGATAATATCTATCTTACTGATTTGCTTTTCCAAAAATGGCAACACAATTAAACGCCTGGGCCGTATTTCCCACATGCATAAAGATGACGATTTCCACAAGATTCGCGAAGACACCAATAGAAAAGAACAGGCAGGATATCATGACCTCTAGCAAGGTCATCGTTGCTGTGCCAAGAATGGCGGCAAGGAATAAGATCACGTAGACGATATTGGACAGAAATAAGCAGAGCATCAAAACTTTCCAGAAAAACAAGGATTTGGAATTTGTATAGGGAATAAATCTGTTTTTGGAAATGTCCCACTCTAATGGAAATGGGGGGAGGAGAGCAAACCCTCGTGAGAAGGTGTTGAGGGATCGCCACATTAGTGAAGTAACGGTTGCCATGATGATATAAATATTGATTGTTTTTTACGAAACTTCTTTGAATTATGTATATAATTCTTTGCAATATTTTCTTTGAACTGTCGTTTGTGAGAGTGAGCTATGGGAAGAAAATGTTGGAGATATTAATATAGCAAATGGCTATATAAATTGTTTATAAATTGGACTTTGCTTGGTTTAATAGTTTACTTAGCAAAAATGTCTCCCATCCCCGCTTTACTTTCTTGGTTTACAAACCTGACATTTGTGTGCATAATTGAATATTTTTTTAACAGGATGTGGATTCATTTGTTATTCCTGTTGGACGGTGGAAGGGAAAATATTTTATAGAAATTAGTATGCCTATGTACATATTACATTTTAGAATTTCTTGTATTGATTGTTTGGGGAATTTTAAATATTAAATTAAAATTAATTTCTTGGATCGTACACGTAACAGAAATTTGTAAGCAAGATATTATTCTACTTAATTATTGATATAGAAGAAGAGTGGATAGGCATTAACTAGGGAGGGTGAATTAACGGGTCAAGGGTCGAATATGTGGTGTTTCCCGAAATGGTTATTTTTTTTAAATCAAAGAAATATTTATGTGAATATTTTTATGCATAATAAACTCATGCAGAATATGCCTTAGTAGATATGGACATATCATAATTAATAAAATCTTTATCAGTGCCTACTCCATTGACGAATAAACTAAAATAAAAATAAGTTCATACATTTTTATTTGAATAAATTTAAGTAATTTCAGGTTAGTGTTATTAACAATTGCCACGTTGTGTTTTTGCAACGCTTGGATAGTCTAACTATCATAGTCATAGTTTTGTTACAAGTAAAGATAGACATCTTTTGAGGAAATATATTTTTTGATTTAATATAATTGGTATCGAAGTAAGATTGCGGTTCCCACGGTATCAGGATTCGACCCTTGACTCGTTAATTCACCTTTCCAACTAAAACCTATCCACGCTTCCTCAATTTCAATAATTAAGTTGATTAATCTTTTGCTTACAAATTTCTGCCATGTGTCCAATCCATGAAATTAACCTTAATTTAATGTTTAAAGGTCCCCAAACAATTAATACACGAAATTCTAAAACATAATCTCTACATACAGAGGTATGCTAATTTATATAAAATATTTTCCCTTACACCGCCCAACAGAATAACAAATAAATCGACATCCTGTCAAACAACCACTCAATTATGTACACACATACCAAGCTTATAAACCAAGAAAGTAATAACACTCTTAATTCGGTGAAATTGAGACGGACTCTGTGGGTTGATGTTGATTTATAAAAACTTTATTTTTCCCCATATATTTCGACAGGATGCTCTTATCTTCATCAAGGGAGATGGTGGAATTATAATTTAAGATATTACCATCTAATCAATACACTAATAATTATTGAATTTTTTTAAATCTGGAAAGCAATATGTAAAATCTATATTTCTAATGTTAAATTATATGAAAATCTACAATGCAGTGACCAATGATAATGATTAATGAACAGTAGAATTAAATGTGCGCGTCACAATTGACGCAAATATTGGTATGATATTAATCCTGGAGATAAATATTATCCACGTAGTCGCCTTATTTGTATTTTTTGCAAAGAATGCGTACAAACATATCCTAGGAAGGTAGGTGTAGGGATGGTGTATCCGATCCTTCGGAGCGCATCGGATAATCATCGGAGCGGATCGCAAATAAAAATATCCGAGCACAATCGGATTGGATAAGACCCTTTATCCGATCGGATCAATCCGACGGATACTTCGGATATCCGATCGGATATCGGATAATCCTTATTTACTAAAATTCCACAGTTTGGTAGTACTATTATGAAAATATTCTCACGTGAGATATGTAAATTTAAAGGACTGGCATTCTTGACAACGGTGTAGCATAATTAATTTTTATTTTTCATCCATTTATCCATTTTTTCCATACATTTATTTAATTGTGGTTATGTGATTGTATATAATATCCAGTGATGTCAGTGAAATTAAAATGACAACTGGAAATATTGGAAGAATTTTGTCATTTATATTTCAAGTTTCAAGTTGAAATCAATGTATTTATCAATGTATTGGATGTGTATCTTTATATCTTTTGTGAAGTGCTTATCTCCACGATCCTTATGAATTATCAAAATAAAATACACTTTTTTACATTATAAATCCAATCACCCAAGGTCATTAATTAATTCGTTACCATTTAGTCGATTTTTAAGAGTAAAAAGAATGTTCGAACGATGAGGGATGTAATTTGAATGATGTTTCATAAATTTATGACTAGGGGATATCCACAAGTGCTTTTAACGCAAATTAAATCCCAAATAATGAGCATGCACAGAAAATATATTTTACAACCAAAAACTAAATTAATTTTAAAATCATTGTCAAATAATAATCCCAATATTTTATGTAAATATCAGAATTACTTGGAACCGAATAGAGTAAAACAAGAAAAGGTATACCTCGTAATGCCATTCTATAAAAACATGTTTAAGTTTAAAGATATGCTAATTAACTTTATTCATAAAGAAAACGAGAAGGGGAATACTGATTAGTATAAACATATTATGTCCAAGCTTTCATTTGTAATATCATTTAAGAAAACCAATACATTGGAAACCTTTTGTAAACCTATCCCAAATTCAGTGTAAATCTTTTCACGTCAACCACACTCACTGTTTCACTAATAATACACAAACATAACTAAAATAGAAACACGGTAATTCTTAGCAGCATTCTAAATTTATAATATTATGACATTTTGTAAATAATTATTTAATTAAATTTTAAATTCTGATTTGTAGCCTGATGAAGCAAAAATAAATTGCGAAAGGCGTCGCGAGTTTCTATATAATTTGGTTGGAATTGTTTTCTCCACTTACTTGAAGTGTATTCGTGCTTACTCAAATAATTTCAAATGAATTGTATAATTGCCTGAAAAAATTCAGATGTGCACAGATGGGATGGTGATTAACAAATTGACCGTGTTATCGACAATGGCCGTAAGTGCCTTTCATAGATTTTGTGAGAGAGTAGAAATAGTGCTTATTTAGGCCTGCGTAATACATCCAGGGCCGCATGGCGAGTAACCTTTTGCGCAATTATTTATCCTTTAAACCTACTAATTCTCTCCATCTGGACAAAGTTGCTACGGAATTTTCGTAATCCCCAATCGCGAATGGGAGGAGGGTGAAGATAATGACGATGGTGGTGGCCGATAAAAATGGGAACATTAAGTAGAAGACCCTTGGCAGGGCGGCGTCGAGGAATCTGATTGTGGCAAAATTCAGCAGGGATGAGATTACGAGGCCGGTTCCCATGAGGACAAATGTCATGGCTGCAAGGACGTTTTCCATCGCGGTGTTTACTACACGCAATTGATTGAACTGTGCAAGAATTGTGTTGCTTTGAATTTCGGATTTCCCCCTATTGATTTTAAGTATTAGGGACATTATAATGGTAATAAGCATGACATTTTTGGAATGAATAGAATTTTTACCGTAGTTCTGAATTTAGCAGAATTTGCCCCGATTTGGACAATAGTTGGATGGGAACGCCCATAACGAAGGCGACGAACGGGAATATTCTGCACATTTCGGCAGATGCAATCCATATGGGGGCTACCCTGAAGGGAGTGAGGAATATGCTGTTGGCCACAGAATGCGGGAAAAGGTCTTCCAGGATGAAGATGAAGACATCCATTTTGAGAAGGTAGACACAAGCAAGGGCCACAGGGAGAGGAATGAAGGGCGCTGGTAACAAGGCCATTAGTAGGGTCAGACCTTAAAATATGCATAATTTTTAAAGAAGATACTTAATCGATAGTCTTAATATGTAGGCAGCCCTGGGTTCTTCTAATTTTCTATTTATTAATTAGGTATTACTAAAAACTAATCTAACTCTTAAATAATTGGCTTTTAAATATAGGAGGAGTAATTCTTTTATAAAGTGTTGGTATTTGGCGAAGATAGGTAAATGTAGGTATTTAGAGAAATAAGTTAATTAGCAAACCACAAAGAATTCTTACCGTACCTATTCTGTCAATTTTTCCATCCGCGTCCAAAAAGTCGGGGATTCGTATCCCGCACAATTTTTCCTGTTTCGGATATCTTACCCCTAGAGGATTGACAGATGGATGAAATTCTTCGTACAAACGAATTATTGTATTGACAACGATGACGGTCTCATCGGCGAAGAATGTGATGTAGATGCAAATGCCAGTCACGAAGAGACAAGCAACGCCACCTAGCACGTATTCGACTAAGAAATGGAGTGGCAATCGTCCCTGGGGATTGGTCATTTCGCCGTAAAGAACATATCCGATGGAGCCACAACACAGGAGGAGGATATTCCCAAAGATGGCGACATACCACCAGAATGAGATTAATCTTTTGTGGAAGAACCGCCTCCTTTTGGGATCCCATTGCAGAGGGCAGTTCCATAAGGGTCGGTTGAGACGGAAACTGGCGGAGATGGTGAACCAGACGAGGTTAGAAGACATTTCTGGAGAAGGATGGGTTAGAGTAAAGTACTCAAATTTTAGAAATTTATAATTTTTGAGTGATCTGTGGGAATAATTTTAGAATTTATTCCAACTACGGATGGATTGATGATGTGACTACGACAATTACCTGTATGTATAAATACAGGTATTTTTCTTTCTAACAGAGACTAAGCCTATATTAAAAATTAATTTGAAATCTAAGAAAGAAGTTAATACTGTTATGCATTATTAATTGTCAGCATTCTGAAACTTATTGTTGAAAATATGAGTTAATTTAAATTTGTGAATAAAGAATATTATTGGTAACACACGATATAGTTCCATGGCTTCATTATAAGGCTTCATTAGCAGCAATTGGGTGTAAATAAAGATTGGATGAATTTGTGAAAGTTAATGGTATTGGTATCTTAAACAAATTCGGAGGTTAAATGTAAATAACTTAAAACTAATGTTTAGAAAATCACGAATTTGTCTAGGAAAAATAATTGAGTTACATATTTAAGCAGTTCCGTCTGTCTGAGTAGCTACTAATTTTAAAAGATATTAAGTAGGTAGACGAAACCGAGCAATTTTTCAGCTCTAAATAGATGATAAAAATTAAATGAATTATTAATGACGTTATATATCGATATGGATTAAATTGATCATTCTGTAAGAAATAGTTGCTACTAATGATGGTAAAAGAAAGTACGTAGGAACAAATGTTTAATTAGGTTAGCAAATATGCGTAAACTATGATGTGTCTAAATTTTTCCATACTAGTTTAATGGTAACAAACTACAAGGAGAAAATTAATCTTCTCTTTTAAGGCACACTGCTACTGGAACCAGCGGATGTATGATTTACAGCATCGGAGAGAAGGAAAATGGTCCAAGATTTGCTATACATATTCTGGTACTTAACTACAATAAATTTTAGATTCATTGTATAATTAGGTTCATTGTTGTACATTGTTCATTGTACGGTCGGTGCCGTACAACATGATTCACTCCGATCCTTCGTTCGGAATTAAATTTTTATTCAACGGGGAAAGGGTATCTGGAAGCTTATGGATTGATGGCTACTACGATCCAGCCTGGGAGAACCACGTGAACACGGAGGACAGAGATTTTAAGATAGTACGTAACAAAATAAAGTACTATGGTCAACTCGGAAAGTACTGAGCATGGGAATTCTCGGGAGGCTAAATGGCCGACCTCGTCATAAACTTTAACATGTAGAGTTTGAAAATTCACCGTGAGGTCAGTTCTTGACCGATTTTCAAAATTCCGCCCGTTTTGGAAACATTGAGCCCTTGCGCGACATATATAATTTCAGATTTTGAAAATTCGACCCCACCCCCCCGTTATTGAGGTCACAAGGTCAAAAAACAAGTAGAAATTCTTTATAGAATTTGAAATTTCTACGACGGTATTCGAAGGTCGTCGACCTAAATTCTTGGCGGCAATGCCTGAAGTAGTCAGGGCGTCGTATTGGCGACTAGTTGGTCACACCCCCTGCTGTTCAGTCATTGTGGGGGTGGTCGAAAATCAAGTCAGAAGAATTAAAGAGACAAAAAAATCCCTCCACACTCGATTTCTGACGTCGCCACCTCAAATAATCGTACCCACGTCCCCCTTCTGGGTGATTTGGTATTGTAGGTGACCCCATGGCGACGGGGGGTGTGGTCATCGGCGCCTCTTCCAAGACACTACCCAAGCATGGCATGCGACATATAATTTTTCTCAGCTTGCCAAGGGGATTGCAATGACATAGTTAGAAATTTAAAAACCACACCCCCTGTGGGTGTGGTCATCGACCCCCGCCCAATCTTGCCAACCCATGTCATGTGACATGTGATTTTTCTCAGGAGGGGAGCTTGCGAGGTTGATAATAACAGATCTTGGTGCCCTTTGGATATGTGGTAGGGACCCATGAGTGTACTAAAACCCTGAAGTAGTTTGACTCCATGGCCACATTTGCGCCCGCCACACCCACTCAAAAATGCCCAAAAAACGCTTTCGCTCGAGTTTTCACTCACTCAAATCCACGTCAAAAATCCAATTTTACTCGGATTTTGAAATTTCTTTCACCATTATACTCCCAGATAGTTGCTTTCTTCAATCCAATATCAAACTCAATTTTATTGATGATTATTTCGCAAACATAATTTGTTTTGTTGATGACTACAACAATGCTCATTCAGAATTTTAAATTTTAAAAATACTAAAAATTTCGAAAAAATTGAGTTTGATATTGGATTGAAGAAAGCAACTATCTGGGAGTATAATGGTGAAAGAAATTTTAAAATCCGAGTAAAATTGGATTTTTGGCGTGGATTTGAGTGAGTGAAAACTGGGGTGAAAGCGTTTTTTGGACATTTTTGAGTGGGTGTGGCGGGCGCAAATGTGGCCATGGAGTCAAACTACTTCAGGGTTTTAGTACACTCATGGGTCCCTACCACATATCCAAAGGGCACCAATATCTGTTATTATCAACCTCGCAAGCTCCCCTCCTCAGCTTGCCAAGGGGATTGCAATGACATAGTTAGAAATTTAAAAACCACACCCCCTGTGGGTGTGGTAATCGACTCCCGCCCAATCTTGCCAACCCATGTTATGTGACATATCATTTTTCTCAACTTGACAAGGGGATTGCAATTACATAATTGAAATTAAAAAAGCCACACCCGGGTGGCTGTAGCTTCCTTCTGAATTTTACGAAACCACGTCATGTGACATGTCATTTTTGTCAGCTGATTACGGCGATCATGGCGACATAATTGAAATTAAAGAAACCGACCCCCTAGTGGTGTAGTGTCTGCGCCCGGATAAATATTCCGTAACTACGCCAGGGGGCATACCGTTTTTCTCAATTTATCGTGATGATTACAGTGACGTAATGGGATTTTAAAAAAACCACGCCCACTGGATCACTAGTTGTAGCTCCTCGCTGAGTTTTAGGCAACCACTAGAAATCACACCTTTTGTTTGTTCACTGCGCCCGTCTAAATCGTGCCTAACTACGTCATGCGGGATGTCATTTTGATCAGTCCCTTAAAAGTAGCACCGGGACATAATTTCAATTCAAAAATTTCAAGTTGCTGTGCTATGTTAGTAAATATGTGTATTGTGAATCCTGTATATCTGATTACAGAAAGTTTTGGCAGCTACACATAAACTTGAGATGGTTTTCCCCGACGTGTAAATAAATAAATGTGCTACATGCATATTCTGGTGTACAAGTTCGTTTCACAGGTGTGAAACACATGTGCCCGTGTGTGTCAGAATATTCGGTCCACGAATAAATATGATAAGTACTACAATCGTTCATGAACCCTGAAGCCACTGTCTATTTCTGTTATCAGAATCTGCTTGGCACTTAGCGCCAAGGAGCTATAATCCTCAAAACCGAAAAGAGTAACAATAATTTCGACCGGAATTTCTTAAGACAGAACAAAATTTGAATTGGACGAGATTCGCAGGGTTCGTAGACCTGATGTTTCTGAAACCACGGTGGCAGTCTCCCGTCTCAAATTGCCCCCCTCGCGGAGTGGGAGGGACTCAAAGTCGAAAAAATTGCCGGTCTGTGACCTTTAGCTCGAAGAGGGGTCAATATTTTTGAATGCGGTTTTCACCAAAAGTTTCCTATTTTTTTGTCTACCATGGCTTTCGAGCGTTTGTTGAAATTATCTCACATAAGAAAATTCCCTATGTGAGACTAAGGAGTAGGAAGTCAGAGGTGAATTTTGAATTTCGCCAAAAAGAATTTTGTGAAATTCGATTTGCGAATTTCAAAAAACGCCAAAAAAATTAGACAAAAAATTAGGGAACGTTTGGCGAAACCCGCATTCAAAAATATTGACCCCCTTTGAGCTAAAAATCGGAGATCGAGCGATATTTTGGACCTTCAGCTCCTCCCACTCCGCCAGGGGGGAAATTTGAGACGGGGACTGCCACCGTGGGTTTCAGAAAAATCAGGTCTACAAACCCTGAGAATCTCGTCCAATTCAAATTTTTTGCTGTCTCAATAAATTCCGTTTGAAATTATTGTTATACAAAAGTGTAACCGGTTTATCTTGTGAGGCTATTAACGATGGAATACTTAATGCGTCAGGGAATCTCTTGGTTGCGTCCATTGGCCAATACAGGAGGGTGTGTATTTACCATTCAGTGTTGCCGAGAGGCACTGCTGAAAAAGTATTGAGAGATAAATTCGATACAATACACGCAACACGGCCACGCCCACAGTGATCGCCTTCACAAGCTGAAAAATTAATGCATCGCGTGTGGCTTGCTTTGATTTAGCCGGAAGCCACCGGGCACAAAAACCACACAACTAGGGGGTGTGGTTTTTGAAATCTGAATTAAGTCACCGTAATCATCTTGGCGTGGTTAGAAAAATACCGTGTCACATGACGTGGTTTCGTAAAATTCAGAAGCTACAACCGGGTGTGTGGCTTTTTGAATTTCAATTATTCTTAGGTGAGGCTATGGTTACTGAATAAATACCTAAGTAAGCATTCACTGGGGTTCTGAAAAGTGACCACAGCCTATAACTTTTTCATTTCTCAACCGATTTCGGTGAAATAAAAACTATGAGTCAATTATGATCATGAAGAATTTAATTTTCAGCTGCCATTCATGAAACCATCCTAGTTTCGGAGTAATCCTTGAAAAACCACTTCCATGGCGACGTTTTGCCTTATTAGAACAAAGTAGAGGGGTCAATTGAAAGTGTGCTTTGATGAAAATGTGACAAATTTAGCTATCTTCTATCTTCAATTTAAAATTGTAATCATCAAAATCGGTTGAGAAATGAAAAAGTTTTCCCCTTGACGAAAAATGTAGCGTTGGGTTGTGTGCCCGCTAAGGGAAACTGAAATGAAAGTGAGATCGCCTAGCAATTTAAACCCTTTGATTCACATTTCCAAAGTGCAAATGTGAATATTATTAACAAAATTAATCTTCATGTTTGTTAGAAACACATCCTGCAAATCACGATTTTAGGATATCCAATTTATGAGCTAACGGCGATTAATTACTGAGACTCGATTTAAGTCAAGTAATTGTATTATCGTAAGTAACGAAAGTCTATTACCAATTACTTTTTCTTGCAATTAATTACTTAATTATTGTTGTCATTATTAGAACACGATCAGTGATGAATCATCATAAATATTACAAATTAAAAGCTTAAAATAACCCAAACCCTAAAAAGGATTGCTTAGGTGAGACTATATCTGCGATTAAAAGTATGAAATAACCCCTCCCTCCTCCCACCCTGAAGAGAAAGTGTTGGTAAAATTAGTATCACCGCTCTGGGAATAATTTCGTCACGTGGAAATAATTGTGGGTCTAAACATCAAGTATTACTTGATATTCCGACCAATTAAATTGGTCGGAATTAATTCAGTTCCAACATGTATCCACTAACTTTATCGTTATGATGACTATTGGTTCCTGTTGATTCGTGGTTAATGTGGTATATATGCGACACAATAAATGCATCACAATTAAAGTAATAATGAACAATCCATAGATTTTTGCTTCAATATAAACACATTAATAAAATAAAAATAGCATTTACTACGACTTGTCAGAATCTAAATTAAGGTTTTGTAACCAATTTGCTTAGAGTGCACGGTGCAATGTTATTTAAGATAAGTGGGGATAGTTTATGCAAAATTACAGTACATCGGTGTTCCCATTATTTTTACAGTGCAGATATGTGAAAAATAAAGAAATTATTCCCAGAGCGGTCGTGCTAATTTTACCAACACTTTCTCTTCAGGGTGGGAGGAGGGAGGGGTTATTTCATACTTTTAATCGTATATAGTCTCACCTAAGCAATCCTTTTTAGGGTTTAGGTTACGTCATTGATATCCCCTTGGCAAGTTGAGAACAATGATATGTCACATGACATGGGTTGGCAAGATTGGGCGGGGGTCGATGACCACACCCACAAGGGGTGTGGTTTTTAAATTTCTAACTATGTCATTGCAATCCCCTTGGCAAGCTGAGAAAAATTATATGTCGCATGCCATGCTTGGGTAGTGTCTTGGAAGAGGCGCCGATGACCACACCCCCCGTCGCCATGGGGTCACCTACAACACCAAATCACCCAGAAGGGGGACGTGGGTACGATTATTTGAGGTGGCGACGTCAGAAATCGAGTGTGGAGGGATTTTTTTGTCTCTTTAATTCTTCTGACTTGA